CGCCAGGGTGCTTACCCTGGCGAGCCGCGTGCCAAACATTGCCGACCCCTGACCTAAAGGGAGCACTATATATAGAGGAGAGTTGTCTTTCCCAGTTATTCTCTGGCCTCTTTGCTGGGGCTGCCAATAAGGGTCTACATTAGCAACAACTGTGGTGACTGCTGTGTGGTGTGGACAGCTGACAAACTCGCTTCCTACAGGCTCCTGTTATATTAACTTTTGGTCACTGATGAAGCAGGTTTGATTTGAACTGGTGAGTCAGAGATGAAAGGCTCCACATCCTGCAACCCCTTCTCTGAGCCACTGAGTCTCTAAAATCACCCATTGTTCGGAAACCTGTGCAAGGCTAGGCACAATAGGGTGAGATAATCCTTGCTGCCTTGGTTCCTGTGCATCCATCATTAGCAATAAGATTTGTGCTTGAGGAAACTACAATCCCTGGCTTCAAGGAATTAGGGCTGAACCAGCAGAGTTAATCTAAATTTACTTGCTTTCCTTGCTTTCACCTTTTTAAAAAAAAAATTATGTAACATTTTGAAAGGGACAGTGTGAAAAAACGAAGAGTCAACATGGTTTCCCCAATCTCCCAGCTTCCATTGAGATCACTAGTATGAGAGAACTGCTGATATTATAAAGTCTCTTTTGGAGCCACTACAATGGCAAAGCAGGAGTAGAAAACATCAGCAAGAACTTTATACTGACTCCATAATCCCTTGAAAATGAAAACAGTGAAATGGTTGCACATTTTGGCCCATTTCTGTTTGGTGCTGAGGCCTTCTATTTCCATTGACAACTAGGAACAGGCTCTTTATTAATGCTTATGATGAAAACAAAAAAGGAAAATTTAACTACTGAAATCACTTGCCGGTTTCAGGTTAAGAACCGCCCACTTAGTGTTTGCAAAATTTAAGCTTCTAATGCTAAGGGGACTGTTTTCTTGTCAGTGCACAAGGAACACCCAAATTAATGGGGGTTATGTGCACTTATCAATGGAGACTACATCCTAATCAACTTCAAGCAAATCAAAAACATTTGAATGCAACAAAAAATTTTTTTAACCCCTTTAAAATAACTTAGCTGAATAATAGCAATTTAAAGAGAGATCTGGCCTAACAAGCTGTATGCAAAATTTCATCTCAAAGGGAAATAAAACAGCCAAGTTATACATTCAACAAATTCAGGGATTGTAACAGCAACTGACACATCATTATAGCATTTCTGCATCAATGCTACAATAAAGCAGCAGTTCCTATTTTCACAAATAATGCATTGAGGCTAAGTAAGAAACGGTGCGAAAGTCACACAATCATGGACAAAATACATTAGAAAGATTATTGCACAGGAGGCACTGTATGAGAAACAGAATACATTGGCTTCAAAATCTAAACTTGTTTCCCCTTAACTTAATGTAAAAAATAGAGACTGTATGACTCTGTGCAGTGTACTGTCACTGTTAAAAATATAGTTACAAACAATAGCCCACTTACAGAGAATATCAGGAAAGCAGAGATCCTGGATTTATGGACATCCAAACTACAGGAATTAGGAAAATAACAGTATAAAAAGAGCCAACTTATACATTTTAAAATTGAACAGGGTGACTGCATTTTTAAAAAGTTTCCACATGGCATTTGTACAGTATGTCCCAAGAAACCATGGTTACTATTCTCAAAATGATACACATGGGCAGAGGTTTACACCTACACAAAGTCCCATCAATCAAAGAGACTGTGTGGACATAAAGGTCTGCCCACATGGGTCCCTTTGCAGGACTGGTGCCTTAGTCTCCAAACCTCATTTTGTTTAACAATCGCTCAGATGGCTTACAATACTATGCATGCCAATCAGAACCAATCACTTCCTTTGAATACACTATGTTCCATTTCCATTGCAAATCTGCACGCCTCATTTAAAAAAAACAACAACAAATTTTTAAAATGTAATATTGTATAGAAAGCTTGGACCTTGTAAACTTGGACCAAGAAACCAAAAAATTAAGACCTTCTAGCATGTGGTATAAAAAACCCAAGGAAGTGTATACCTGCCTTCTGACTTATAGAAAAATCAGAATTTGCATAGGATATACTTTGTGCAAGGCAACAAGCCTCTTTAAGTATCTGGAATATTACTAAGCTTGCTCAGAGTTCTTTTCTTCATGGATATCAGATATCATCAAACTTGTGTTTTAAATAGTCTTTGATGACCTTGGCAATGGGTAGTTCATCAAGCAGTTTTAGGTTTTGAAGGCCTATACACTGGCGGATTTTAATTCGGCATAGATCTTGCAAGTTTCTGGGCTGTCCTGAAATGAAAGACAAAAGGAACATATTTAAGTAAGAATCACATTTAAGATGTGCTTCAAAAGTTTATTTATATTATTTTATGTCCAGCTCTGAAGATGAACAAGCAGTCAACTTAGAGGGTATGATTTAAAGCAATTCAAGGATCACATGGCCAAGTTTAATAATCGCACTTTCCCCCTCCAACCAAGAGAAAAGGCCTTTAGTTTCTAACACATTCAGAATGTAGGTTATATATGTATTTCCCTGTAGAGTGAGTTGAGACCAGGGCTGACCACAGTTCATGGAGGTAATGATCTGCCAGTACCAAGACCACGTCAGCAAAAACGTTAATGGCTAGATTTTTCTGAAGAACTGAGTTCCCATTTAGGCTGATTATCTTTAAAGGGAACTGCTGGACTCTGAGCAGTTTGGAAAGTCAGCCCCCAAAACACTTAACTTAGCCAGTAGTATCTCAAAATAAATGCTATGGAATACTTTCACCCTTGAAGTTTATGTATGTCACCAGTTATAATACACAAAATGTTTTAACTTCAAATATTTCCTACATTGAAAAAGCAGACCCCTAAAACAATTAAGCATCATAAAAGCAGCAGATGACTGTGTGAGTGGAAACATCTTACAATTTGTTTTCAATTACCTTGAATAGACGGGGTACCGGGGACACATGTAAATGCTTATACTGCTATCTCAAAATAATCTGTAATCAGTAGACCTTACTGCAATCGTTTGTCATCTTCCTAACAGTTAGTGGTGAAAGGTGGCATTTGCCTTCTCAAAGAAAGAAAAAAGGCACGGATTGCACCAAGTAGACGATTTCTATTGTTTTTCCCAAAATCATTAAAATAAACATGTAAACAGTTTACTCAACAGAAATCAAGCTGAACAATTTAAATGAAATATTTTCCAGTTTCTTCAAGATTTCCTAGATAGCGAACATGTAAATAAGAATCTTGTCTCAAAACAGGCAATGCTTTCAATAAAATGGTTCTTGAAACCTCTGCAATTGCAGGTTATAAGGTAAATGGTACAATGCTCTCAGCGCATCTATGTACATTAGGCAACAAGGCTACAAAATAAAGGTGATAGGATCCTCTTATCCTCTAGACTTGAGTTAGTCACTTTATTGAAGGCATATTCATCTCGAGTTTGGAGTTACTCCATTCCAAATGAAAGTCTGAGGCTTTGTCTACACTACAGAGTTTTGTTGACGTAAGTTAAGCGGACAATCAAAAACCGGTATAATTACACTGCTTGTGCATGTTCACACTAGAACTCCTTCTGCCGGCAGAGCACATCCACAATTAGTGCTCTAGCATCGACGGGGAGAGCAGTGCACTGTAGGTAGCTATCCCACTGTGCTACTCGCCACCTTCTGCAGCTAGGAGTTGTGGGAAGACAGAGTGGATCGCAGTGCATCATGGGTGCAGGCTCAACGTCCCATGATGCAGTTCTTTCCATCCCAGCATTCACAGCATTTTTCAATAGCCTGTTTATTGTGCGCCCAACATCTCTGTCTGAAAGGATAGATCCCTCACTGCTCTCTACTGCTGCGGTCACTGTTATGAACACATCGCGGATGGTCCTGCAGTACATCAGGAGCTCCCAATCTCAACAGGAATCAGAGTTGCCTGACCTGCTGTGTGCCAGGGAAAAACACCAGATTACTTTTGGCATTCACAGAGCAGCCGAAGATGGTGGACTGTCGCTTTTGGGCTCGGGAAACAAGAACTGAGTGGTGGGATCACATCATTATGCAGGTCTGAGATGACGAGCAGTGGCTGCAGAACTTTCGGATGCGGAAAGCCACCTTCCTGGAACTGTGTGCAGAGTTTGCCCCAGCACTGCGGCATAAGGACACCAAAATGAAAGATGCCCACTCGGTGGAGAAGCGCACGGCGATCACAGTGTGAAAGCTGGCAACTCCAGACTGCTACTAGTTATGAATCAGTTTAGAGTCAGGAAGTCGACCCTTTGGAACTGCGTTAACGCAAGTGTGCGAGGCCATTAATCACACCCTGCTACGAAGGACGGTGACTCTTGGCAATATGCGTGAAATAGTGGATGGCTTTGCAGCAATAGTGGATTCCCTAGCTGCAAAGGGACAACAGATGGCATACATAATCCAATTTTGGCCCCAATTTTGTGACAGAGTACATCAATAGAAAGGGGTACTTCTCTATGGTATTGCACGCACTTGTAAATCACTGTGGGCGTTTTACTGACCAGGAACACTGGCCTGTACAGAAAGCTCCAAGCAGGGACTTTCTTTCCAGACCAGAAGATTCCAGTGGGGGATACTAAAATGCCCATCGTGATCCTAGGAGATCCAGTGTACCCTTACAGCCGTGGCTCATGAAGCCTTACACAGAAAACCTGGACAGCAGCAAGGAATACTTCAACAATAGGCTGAGCAGGTGCAGAATGACCATGGAATGTGCCTTTGGCAGATTAAAAGTGCACTGGCGATGCCTTTATGGAAGGTTAGACCTAAATGAGGAAAACATTTTGCATGCTCCATTATTTGTGAGGCTAAGGGTGAAAAGTTTCCCCTGGGGTGGAGCGCAGAGGCAGATTGCCTGGTTGCTGAATTTGAGCAGCCAGATACCAGGGCTATTAAAGGGGCACAACAGGGGGCTATTTGAATCATGGAGGCTTTAAGGCAACATTTTGATAAAGCCCCAGCAATACAGCACTCTGCCATGCTTTATTAACTTGCCGCCTTGCATGAAAATTTTGATGTTTCTTGACTGGGATTTGTATTCGGCCAATTATCAAACTGACACTGTATTACTACCAGCAGCAACCACCATGTGAAGGAGACAAATAAAGAAGGTTATCTTTCCGAGAGTTTGTTTTTATTAAATACCAATTAACAACACACACAAAAAGCTTGGTGGGAGGAGAGATAAGAGTGCAAGGCAGTGTAGGTTCTCCTAGTCATGTGTAAGTCCAGCTATCATTTTGGAAGCTGTCTGTCGGAATGGAGGGAACGAGGTACCGAGATGTTCTGGGAAGTTACAAGGAACGTGTGGGAAGAGTTTGGGAAGGGCATGGAAAGCAGTTCTGTATCGGCTGCAGAGGGGGATGAGCACACGTGTTCTGCAGGGAGCGTGATTAGGGACTTCAACATCTCTGTTTGCTCCTCCATCACTTTTATCATCCGCTCTTGGCCCCTTACAATGTGCTCCTCACTCTCCTTTCTGTCCTGCCTTTCTATTTTTTTCCTTCAGGGTCTCTCCACTCCCTGAGCTCTGTTTATTCAGCCTCTGGGATTGGAGTATCTCCCGGAACATGCGCTCCTTGCTCTGCCTTGGTTGCTTTCTTATCTGGCAGAGGCACTCTGCAGGTGCATAGGGGGTTCCCCTGAAGGCCACATCTGCAGAAGCACAAGAAACAATACACAGAATCATTATTGTTAGTTCGCACACAGTATTGAATCATAGTAACAATACCTCTTGACATATGAATCACTTTCGTACTACCCTTTAGAGAGCACACATCCCAGTGAACACTCTAAACACTCTAGACTTTGGGCTGGGTGGGGTTTGGCATTCAAGATAGGGCAAAGGGTCTAGGTGGTTATTTATGGGGATTAGTGCAGGTGACTAGGGACAATATTCAATGACCCATTCCTGCAGAAAAAGGTGGCAGAAGCCAGTATCTCACTCCTGAGGATAAGCAGGAATGCAAGGGTGCATCTCCTGCATGCGTGCGGCTTCAGACCCGGTCCCTGTGCCGCTTGCCTATGCCGCTTTGGTCCCAGCATAAGTGATTGCCAAGTGACGTGGGAAAGTTTCCTACAATAGGTGAAGGAACAAAGCAGCTCTGCCAAGGAACCTTTGGCACAGGATTGGTGAGTACCTCCAGGAAAATTTCCTAGAGACCTCTCTGGAGGATTCCCGTGAAATCTTGGTGTGCATTTACACACTGTTCCGCTGCACTGCTTAGCTGCACAAGGGAATGTGGAGCACACTCAAACACAGCTAGTCTTGTACATATCTATCGCTTCATCCACTTCTAGAGCATACAGAGCAAAGGACAGCTCTACCTCATATAACCAAGCAGCATCAACTCAAAAAGATCACTTACCAGGGCTCTTCTCTCACGTATCATGTGTGCCAGGGACGGACTGCTGGGGCTGGCTAGAGGTCCAGAGTGGAAAAGAGGTCCCGACTCGCCACGCCACCGGACGAACCTGCTGTGTGCTCCCCATTGTCCTCCAACTTGACCTCCTTGTCCATGACTTCGTCCTTGGGGTTAGGTCCACTATCCACTGCCTCCAGCCCTGCCAAAGTATTCACGGGGCTCTGGGAGGTGGCGTTCGGGGTCACCGCCACGGACGACGTCCAGCTCCTTACAGAAGTGGCAGGTCTTCAGCGCAGCCTCCTCTCCCTATAGTGCCAGCAGATCCAACAACTTGGGTGTTCTCCAAGCGGGGGGAGAGTTGCTGCGAGGAGCCGCCACAGTCAGCTGGGAAGCTGCAATGCGAGTTCTCCATGCCGAGAAAACTGGAAGTGGAATTTCAAAAATTCCCGGGCCTTTTAAAAAGGGAGGGGTGGAAACTTGTTTACCTGGGTACAGGGCAGCAAAGTTCAAACTGCTGCCCAGAGCGGTCAGGATGGGCATTGTGGGACACCGCCTGGAGGCCATTTACAGCGACATAACCAAGCGCGGGGTCTACACCGACACTTCGTCAGTATAACTTAGCCGCAAAAAACTATGCTTCTCATCAAGGTGGTTTTATTTTGTGGGCAAAGTAGGAGAGTTTTGTCGGCAGAAGGAGCATTGTAGAGTGTACACCTCCACTGTTTTGTCGATGAAACCCGACTTTTGTTGACAAAATTGTGTAGCATAGACAAGGGTACGCAATTGACGCAAGTTCACTTGCATTCTACAGTCTTGTTAAACGTGATATTCAACTTCTGTCTACATTGTTTACCTTCTATTATTAGAAGGCCCAACCTCCGTATAACGGGATATGTTATTTCTATTTTTTCTG